CATCTTCATTCTTTTTTATAGCAGCATGGTATTCCATTGTATGGGATGTAGCATATTTAATTTAACTTAGTTCCTCACTGATGGGGCTTTTAGGCTATTTTATCATTTGCTGTTACAATATTGCAATCAATCAATCAACGTATGTCAGTATATTTGTAGGACAAAGCCTCAGGAATGGAATTACTGTGTCAAAGGGTATACATACATTTATAATCTTAATCCAAATTGCTAAATTTCCCTCCATAGAGATAGTGCTAATTTACACTCTGATTGGTAAATTTTTAGGATTTGTGTTTCCCCACAGTATTGCCAACAGTGCATTATCAAATTTATGAAATTGCCAATCTAAGATATAAAAATGGTATCTCAGGGTAGTTTTAATTTGCAATGTCATAAACACATTTGTTTTCTTTTTATATCATGCATTCATTTTCCTTTTAGGCTATTGTGTTTTTTATCTATTTCCAGTTCATTATAAATTAAGGAAAAAAGCCTTTGTGATATGAACTGCAAATTTTTTCCAGTTTGTATGTTTTCTCCTCTCTTTGCTTTTGATGCTTTTTATCAAGCAAGTTATTGATTTTTTTAAACTGTTCTACTGCGATATAATTCAGATACCATAAAGCACAATCCTTTATTCAGTTCAGTTTTTAGTATATTCACAGGGTTATGCATCTATCACAAAAATCAATTTTGAAATATTTTCATTAACTCTGTAGCAGTCACTCCCCATTTCTCCTCAAACCCCCGATCCTCTGCCTTTGTTGTTCAGTCACTAAGTCGTATCTGACTCTTTGTGACCCCATGAACTGTAGCCTACCAGGCTCCTCTCTCCATGGGATTTCCCAGGCAAGAATACTGGATTGGGCTACCATTTCCTTCTCTAGGGGATCTTCCCGACCAAGGGATCGAACCCAAGTCCCCTGCATTAGCGGACAGATTCTTTACTGCTAAGCCACCAGGGAAGCCCCACTCTAAGGCCTAGGCAACAACAAATCTACTTTCTGTCTCTAGAGATCTGCCTAGTCTGGACATTTCCTATAAATGAAATCATATACCATGTGACCTTCTGTGCCTGGCTTCTGGATACCAGTCCCTTATCAGGTAAATGATTTTTCAAATATTTTCTCCTATTCCGTTATTCTGTGGGTTCTTTTCACTTTCTTGATGGTATCATTTGTAGCACAAAAAGTTGTGTTTTTTTTTTTACTTTGATGATGTTCAATTACACACACACACACACACACACTCTTGTAGCTGTTCCTTGGGTCTTTGATGTTATTTCTAAGAAGGCTTTGCCTAACCCAAGGTCAAAGAGATGTACTCCCATGTTTCAGGCTCTTACATTTAGTTCTTTAAATCCATTTTGAAATTGTTTTTGTGTATTGTGTAACAAAGGAAATTATATTTTATGTAGCCACACTTAACAACTTTTTATTTTACATGGCTTCTGAATTTTCATAGTTAAGAGTTTCTACACCTCAAGATTATTTTTAAAAATTCCCTGATTTCCTAGGGTGTATTTATGATTTCCTCCTTTTACAGTTAAATCTTTAACTCTTCCTTAATTTATCCTGGTCTGCAGCATGAGATATGGATCTAATCATTTTTTTTGCCTTGGCTCCACAGTTGTCAACCACCATCTAATCTATTAAGTAGTTCATTTGTTCCTCAGTGATTTGAGGTCCCATCTTCATAAACGTATAGATAAACATTTTTAAACTGTATAATGAAAATAAAGGACAAGTGGAAGAGTATTCGAGAAAAGAGAAGGAAATAAGAGTGTGAAAATATATGGGCTTCATGACTTTATTTTGGGTAGAAGAAGCTCTTGAACTACTTTCTTAATTTTTTCTTGTGGGTACTGGTATGTTAAAGTTTACTATAGCTTCTAGAATTAATATTAGCCACTTGCATTCTTCTCGAAAATCTTCCATTTCACCTAGGTTTTCAAAGTATTAGGAGGGAGTTATACAAAGTACTTCTTCAAATTTTTAAAAATGTCTTCATACCTATAGTTATACTCTTCTTTCTCATTTAAGACTATATTCCTGATTAGGTTTACTTATCTATTTCATTTTCTTCTTCCAGTAATACCTTCTGGCTTATTTGTTGAAGTCTATAGGTTTTCTGTTTTGTAGTTCATTAATTTCTGGAATTTTAAAATGTTATTTATTTCCTCCTTTAGTTATTTTTAGCATCACTGTTCTTTTTCTAGCTCACTAACTTGAAAGCTCAATTTATTTCCTTTTAATTTGCACTTTCATCTAGGTATATCATCTTTAATTTATCTATCTGTCTACCTATCTATTTATGCCACATCATACTTGTGTGGCATACATGGGATCTTAGTTCCCCAACCAGGGACTGAAGCTGGGCCCTTGACAGTAAGAGCACACAGTCCTAATCACTGGACTGCCAAGGAATTCCCTCATTTGTACTTCATGCCTACCTATATTGTTTGAATATTACAAAGAAGTTATGTTACTTATGTAAAAAGAGAGAGAGAGATTACAAGAAAAGAACATTTCAAAGGTCAAAATAATTTACCAGGGTCAGAACTGGGAATAAAGCAGGAGGCATTCACTGTGGGTGCAAATGTAAAAGAGTTGGGTGCAAAATGCCCCAAACTCAGTAATCAAGACATATGATATCTTCATGCAATAATCTGGAAAATCAAATTGTAAAACTATGACCTGCAGACTGGCTGCCTGCTTTTATAAATAAAGTTTTATCAGAAGTAGAGCCAGGACTAGAGTAAGACGAGTGAGGCATGGTTTAGCAAGTACAGGAATGTACTTAGTACTTCCTAAGTACTTAGTAAAAAAACTTAGTATTTTGTTCACAGATATTTTGGACTAATTTTTTAAAATATTGCATTAAAAATGTCCTTGAGGATTTCCTGGTGGTCAAGTGGTTAAGAATCTGTCTGCCGAGCCAAGATGGCGGAGGAATAGGACGGAGAGACCACTTTCTCTCCTACAAATTCATCGAAAGAACATTTTGAATGCTGAGCAAATTTCACAAAACAACTTCTGATCGCTAGCAGAGGACATCAGGCGCCCAGAAAAGCAGCCCATTGTCTTCGAACGGAGGTAGGACAAAATATAAACGATAATAAGGGAGTCAAAAGAGCTACGGACGGAGACCCGTCCCGGGAAGGGAGTCTTAATAGAGGAAGTTTCCAATCACCAGGAAACCCTCTCACTGGCGGGACTGGGGGAAGTTTTCGGCACT